CTCTGCGCAAGATGGGCGACCCCCAAGACGGCGCTACTGATTATCGTGAGGGGTATTTGGGCGACGGTTGGCGGTCATCACCTTGTTCACGAGGTGGGGCACACTTTATTTCCAGAATACACATGCATCGCGCTACGAAGGTCAACAGCTGAAGAAAAGCACGACATATCAGCTTGCGCAAACTGAAAGCTCCGAGGCTTCAAGCACACGCGTAGACCCGTGGCTTCACATCTAGACGTTGCAAACCTTTTCACCTTGAATCCTGCCTTGCTGCACCCTGCCGCTCAATACTTGTACTCGAAAACTAAACCTGAGGCACCCAAACCTTCAATCCATCGGATTTTGTGCATCCTGCAGCTTTCCACGCTCTTGTGTCGATTCAAGCTCTTTCAGAGCTTCGCAGGAATTTAAGGGAAGGTAGTTCAAAGGGTAAGGGCACTACTAGACTACTAATTAAAGATGTTCAAGAATCTTCATAAGAGCAAGTACTCAGACGATAGCCTATATATCACCCTTGGACCGGACTCTCCCTTAGGGATTCCATAGGGAACTGGGCACTTAAAAGCAGAAAACGGCAGACTGACGCGTCGCTTCAGCGACGCCGCCTTGACCGGGATCGGGGATCGGCCTTGGGTGCTGCGGTGCTCTTAACCTTAGCCTTAGCTTTAGCCTTTGTTTTTGCCTTCGCCTTCGCCTTCATCTTGGGATACGGAATCGACGTCGATGCCCGGAGGTTGTCTTCTGCATCCTTTTCATCGTCGTCGTCATCGATTACCTGACATTGTTTTGATCCAGTCCCGGAAAATCTTTAAAGCCGCTATAGACTATGTAGAACTGAAGAAACGTAAACAACCCCCGACTCCCCATAAACCTATATTATAACCCCTTATCGAAACCATACATGACCCTCAAAAAGCTCGTATTTTTGGGACATTTGGGCTTGGAGTTCGCCGCTGCATCTTCGAAGGGCTGCGCTATAGAAGTAACATGACATTCCCAAACCCCTCAACTAGGGAATCACGATCAAGTTTCCGCGCGTGGTACGCGCTCCGGTGGTGTCTCCTGGTGGTCTCGAGTTCAGCACAGCAAAACTCATTTAAGCACGACCGCCACAGTATGTGGCGACAATAGAGGGGTACTCAGGTGCTACATGGGAAACGAAAACTTACAATTTAAAAGCCTTGCCAAAACCCCCTTGATTGGCCCCATAAGGCCGTTAGTGGTGCTATCACCAACTCCCCGCTCGTGATGATCTTGTGTCTGCTTCAGGGGTTGAAAACACAAAAGCAATAGCCGATAATACTTCTGTAACAACAACGACAACGAGAACTATATAGCCATAACAAGACGGAAAGCCCAAGAAGAAGCATTAACAACAGGAGCAACAGCGCAGCACCACCACCAAGAACACCAGCAGCACCACCACCAAGAACACCAGCAGCAGCAGCAGCAGCAAAAACAACAACAACCACCACCACGACGACGACAAGGCACGCGAAAGTCTGAGGGGAAGCCCTTTCAGGTGCAGTCCTCGGCATCAGACATCAGGTCAATGACTTCACCATCACCGAAGACATGAGCTGCCTCGATGAGGGCCGAGGTGTCTTCGGCGTGGCCCTCGGACTTGACATTGGTGGCGGCCGCGCTGGCCTTCCCAATCTCGCCTTGGCCTGGTGTCTCCAGTGCCGCCATGATGCACGACATCGCGGTCGCACTGTGCAACATCAGCTGCCCGTTCTCAGACAGCCGGTGCGCAGGCTTGAGCACCGCCAACCTGAACTGTGAAAACTCCGGGGTTTAGAAGTCTACGTTTTTCGGTTCATTCCCGGGCCCAACACATCTCGTCGCCGACTGCGGGAGCAACGCCCAAAATGGAACGTAAATCCTCCCAATTCAATTTCTTGTCCGGCGGAGCATGTTCCACATGCTCGCGCAGCTCCCTCAGAGCTTGGTTTACGTCATGATCATCAACCACCTGAGACGCGCAGTTGCGGGCGGTGCGTCAGGGCTGCTACGGGTACCGACTACATAGAGAAATAAACACAAGCCTGAGAATGGGCAAACTACAGCCGAAGTTGCGGTCTCGTCAGGGGTGGGCAACAAAGTGGACTCCTGCGCATAAACAGCTGAGTAAAAAAACCCTTCGATCAATAACTCATCTTCTGCAGACCTCCTGAGCAGCAACGGGGCATTCCACTGCATCTGCTTGCGCCGACTGACCAGCCTGCGCATTCAATCATTGAACTGGGCACGTGTCTCATGCTCCACAAAATCTCAGAGAGGCCTAAAGCTTCGCAATGCAGCGCGGGTTAACTTGTTCTCAGTCGACCGGCCTGGCTTGGCTGGCTTGGCTTCTTCGTGACAGGTGTTTCCTCACCAAGAATCCACAGGCATCTGTGCACAAAGTGGACTGGACACGGTGAACTCGGTGAACGACGAACAGCGAGCAGCTGAAGTCCTCTGCATGTTCTTCTTCAAGCGGTTCTGGAACTGCCTGCGACGCAATGTCTAGGCATTCCGGGCCGCGTTGTAAAGGCGTGCCACTCGCGGCTCACCTGCCTCCTCCATGGACGCCTCGACGGTTGACTTTTCTCCGCGTACCGCATCCTGCACGCAAGCCCGTAATAAACAGCTAAGCCACGAGAAATGTAGAGCTGTGCTGTGCTATTGTGCCACCGCTTGCCGCGAACCGTGAAGGAAAGCCAGGAAAGCCACATCCCTGAACTGAACATCCATTCTGTTGCACAAGCTGACTATAGCGGCTAGCCCGGCTACCTAATCCTAGCATGTCCCGCGCGTTCCCCGCATCCTGTACAGGAACTTCTTCAGACGACGCCGGTGCTGCTGCCTGCTGTGCGAAGCACGCGACTGGAAACTTGCTGACGAAGCTTAACGAGGCACGGCCGATGGCCTCTTTCATCTCGGTGTCCTCCTCTGCTGGATCCTGCGCGCAAACGGACAGGACATGAAGGAAATGCATGTGAACAGACTGAACAGACATGTTCATTGGTTCGCTAGCAAGGCTAGCAACGAGAGTAAGTATCCAAAGACTGCTGTGTGTTGCCCTGAAGCAAATTCGGACGACACCAGTGAGCCACTGAGCCATGAGCATGCCCTACGACAACAACCTCTCTCTCTCTCTCTCTCTCCCTGTCTGCCTGTCTCTCACTGTCACTCTCACCCTGTCATCTGGCACTCAGTCACTCTCACGCTCCCTCGCACTCTCATCTCCCTCTCGCCCTCACCCTCACCCTCACTTGGTGGCCAAGGTCCTTCGGCATGTCGCCAATCGTCGATGCAGTCGCAATCGCTGCTTCGGAAGAGCCGTGCTCCTGCATGTTGAAAGCTTGGGGCGTGGCATACAATAGTACAACGCTGCACGAAAGATTCCGCTTCCCCTCTCAATTCGACATCCTTGCTTTTCTGCGTCTCGGCACTCGCAGCTGCCATGTCCGCATCTGGGGCGTCCTGAGTCATGCAGCTCCCCAACACACGCAAACTGCCGAATCCGAAGATCCTGCCGCAACCGAAAACTTTGCCCATCCAGCCCAACCCCCACTGGACTAGCGAGTTGAAGTCTTTGAGACTGCCG